ACCCGCGGGAGGCAGCGGGCAGTGCTTGCCCTTGCCCTTGCCCTTGCCCTTGCCCTTGCCCTTGCCCTTGCCCTTGCCCTTGCCCGGCCGTTTGCTCCCCGCGCAGCCCAAACCCCTGTGCCGGTCCCCGGCAGCCGCCGCCGCTGCGAGCAGAGACCGAGGAGCGAGTGGATGTACGGGAAAGTTTGTCTCAAACTTCCCCGTATTTAGCCTCTTCTCTGCTTTCTCGGTTTGTCTTCTAGGAAGCCAAGTGCTTATTTTGTTCGCCTTGTTTAGGTAATTTCCTCTAAATCCCTCATCTTCTTCCACTCCTCTATTTATGAAGATATATATACACACACAACAAAAAATAAGAAATTGAATTAATCTTCGTGATTTTGACTACCAAAAGAAACAAAACGAAGGTGTTCAGACCTTGACGGTTCTAAAGACTGAGGAAATCACGGTCGCCTCTCAGTGTGTCATTTCCGAACAGAAAGAAAATCTGGCTTCTGAGCTTATGATAAAAATGACCAACGTTGCTACAATACAGGGACTCTTCGGAAGGAAGGAGAGCTGATTCCAAACCTGGGAAGCTCGACGGTTCCCTCCCTCGTTTCTTTCTAAATCCATCTTGTCCCTTTAATACAAATGAACTTTAAGCTCCCCCTGTCTTTTATTATTTAGATTCCTAGTCTTAATGACGCCAGGAGCAGCGCAAGCACACTCGCTAATAATCGTCGCGAACTGCATTTCAAAGAAACATCCCTGGAAGAAAAACACCGTCGTTTAAAAAAAATAAATAGAGACTCCACCAAAAATGATAATGCGGAGTCCCTGCTGATGATGGGCTTAATGCAACTGCTGCAAATCAGCACCTGCGTGCTAGATAAGGCAGATAACAGCTCCAACAGTTACTTCCAGCAGCCCCGTCCTCCACGCTTTTATTTTTAGATCATTCATTTAGTCGGATGGAGTGTTTTTAGGTGGTTTTTTTTTTTTTTTTTAATTATTATTCTTGTTATTTTTCTTCCCTGATCCTTAGGGGAAAAAAAGCGAGGGAAGTGTGAACTGGTTTAAATTTCGAACACTGGGTCTTTCTCGGGCCTTTAATAACAGCTCTGGGGCGGTTCGTCCCCGGGCACTGAGATAGCCCAGACCTCCGCAGCCAGCACTGTCCTGGGTCATCTTTTGTCCCTGCCACAATAAACAAACACTTGCTCCTCTCATGTAAATGAGCAGTGATCCGGATGCACCTTAAAACACTGGGAGAAGTCGTTGCTTTTGAAAACGATGTTCATTTCGTCTGACACACATAACTGCATAGATCAAATGGCTGCAGAAAGGTAGCAATTTGGCAGGGAAGTATTTTCTAAGCTTAGATGAAAGTGTGCTCACGGCGTCCGAAAATGCCTGTCTCACCTTCCACCTGCTTCCCCAGCCCCAAGTTTGTGCGAAAAGACAAGATGGGCGGGATTTTCGTTTAAAAAATAAAATAAATAAAAAAAAAAAATATGCGCGGAACCAGTGGCACAATTCACACAGCCCCGAATCGGGGGCGCTGAATCAGTGCTGCTTTACCTGCGGGGGATCCAACACAACTGCAATAATCTTGTCGGATAATTAAGTAAATTATACCTTAAACATTGGTAGCTTACAAGTTGTAATCAGTAAGTCAAACTCTTGACAATTATGCAAATTGAGCACAGCCCGGCTCTCGGACTTTCTCGGTTTTGCAGCGAGGACTTTTTCCGAGTTTCTTTCCCCCAGAAAGAAGTGGGGGGCACCGGGGCTGAGCCTCCCCACGCGGATTTAAGCAAAGTCCTTCCGCGCATGAAGGGGGGGGGGAGC